GCCTGACTCACTATGTTATCAAACACCTCAGCTCAGCAATTCGCTCTCTCTCTGCCACTCTAGTGCTAAAGGCTGTGGGGAAGCTGGCCTCAAAGCTCTTGAAGACACCGGCAAATAGCTCTTGACTGTGAGTCTTTTCTATTCCTATTGTATCTCCCCTAAGTGATGCTGTTAATATCTCTTATGTTTATTTACTTTGACATTTTTAACATGTTTCCGAGTAACTTAGACTGACCCCGAGCTCCCTACTTAGCCAAGGATGACCCTGAACTTCTGATCCTCCTGCCTCTACCTCCCTAGTGCTGGAATTACAAGCACGTGCCACCATGCATGGGCTTAAGCATTGCTAGGGGTGAACCTAGGACTTCACACATGCTAGGAAGCATCTTACTCACTGAGCTGCATCTGAAGCCCTGTTAATACCTCCTAGTTGAACCATACAACAGTTCCTTACGCCTTGTGATTGTTTGAAAGAAAATGGCCTCCAAAGGGAGTGGCACTATTAGAAGGTGTAGTCTTGTCGAAGGATGTGTGTCACTACGGAGGTGGGCTTTGAGGTCACATATATGCTCAAACTATGCCCAGTGTCTCAGATCACTTCCTGTTGCCTGCAAGCCAAGATTTAGGGCACTTGGCCACTTCTCCAGCACCATGTCTGTCTGCAAGCCACCATGTCACACCATAATGACAATGGACTAAACCTCGGAAAATGTAAGCCACTCCAATTAAATGTTTTTCTTTTATGGGCGCTACCATGGTCATGGTGTCTCTTCACAGCAATACAAATTCTAAGACACTCCTCTTCGAGCCTCCAGTTTCTCCTGCTTTTAGCCTCTCCTTTGAAATCCCCACAGTGATTTTCCTAAGCCAGCCTTCATTTCACCCCTCTGCCCAAGAGTTCTCTGTCTCCCAATCAAAGCCAGATTCCCCCGGTCATTCAAGGCCTTTCAAATCCTCAAGACATGACTCTTCTGTACCGCCTTCAGGTAAATCATCACTTGGAGTGGTGTGAATAAAGGATATTGTATAGTATGAAGATGTAACCGTGACTTTTATTGTACTGTTAATAGCTTCAAATAAATAATAAATGATCCACTTTGTGCTCAGGAAGCTGTGTTGAATTCTTTTCACAGGATCCCCTAGGCTGACAGAATCCCCCACCACTGCCTGATTCTCAAGGCAAAACGTTTATGGAAATGCCAGGGGTGCCGAGTGATGCACAGAACTCTGGAGGGAAACTCTCCCTGCCCCTCCTGCTTGCCAATGGCCTCTCTCTCTAGGGTCTGCCCAGGTCTTAACCCCCAGCCCAGAGCAAGCATCCCACCTTGCCATCTCCACCTGAGTGTTTTCAGTATGGACAGACAAGTCTACAGGGACCCGGAACATGAATGTTCTTCTACCCTGCCAGCTTCCTCCATAGCCTACCTTCCTGCTGCTCAATGCCCATTGTGAGCTAATTAAATGAGCATACTTGACCAGTCAACCATCTTTATTTTCCCAGCTTCCAAATAAACAGCTTCCTCCCCTCATTAGCAACCGGATCAGGGACACACCCACCACTCCTGGGCCTTCCCCGTTCTGCACCTGTGACAGATGCATTGTCAGAGCACTTGTCCTTGAGTGTCAGGTGACAGGCACACTCAGAATCCTCCTCAACACAGTTTCCCAGGAAGGTTATATCCGTCAGTCAGAGTGCACAGGTGCCTAAGACATTCCTTCCTGCTTAGCATCCGCGGCCCAGCTGGTTAATAGCTGATGTGTTTACCAGGAAAGCTCCAAAAGCTTTAATTTCATCCCCTAGGGGACCCTAAACTAGAGTAGCATCCAGTTACATTCTGTCTACTCTGAGCTTCTCTGGCTGGACAATCTGGGCTATGGGTGGACTCTTTAGAAGTCTTATTTGGTATGGGAATTGGAATGAGACAGCTACAGTCAGAAAACTTTCTATTAAGAACGAACCTGGAAGCTGGGCGTTGGTGGAGCATGCCTTTAATCCCAGCACTAGAGAGGCAGAGGCAGGTGGATCTATGTGAGTTCGAGGCCAGCCTGGTCTACAGAGCAAGTTCCAGGACTACCTCCAAAACGATACAGAGAAACCCTGTCTCGAAAAAAAGCAAAAAACAAAACAAAACAAAAGAACGAACCTGGAGTCGGGGCAGTGGTGGCATGTCGCGTCTGCTGCGCGGCCTGTGTCCGAGAACGTGCGGAGGGTGTCGGGGATTGACAACACAGAGACTTGTTCAACGGTGTAAAGAAAACTTTAAGCAGGCCCCAAAAAAGGTTCAAGAAAACTTCCTAAGAAAGGCTCCCTCCAGAGAAGCTTCTGCTCTCTCCTCTCCCTGGCTGGTTCCGCTCTGACACCAAAAACTGATCTGGGCGTGGCAGAAGAGGCGGTTAGTCTTTGGACAAGGTCGAGGTCAGGGTGGTTTCTGTGGGCAGGCCTTTTCCAGGAACTTATTGCCCCCGGGCATTGTATTGTTTTTAGTAAACATGTTTTTAGTAAACATTGTCTTATAGCTGCCTACTCCCAGGCAGAAGGGGAAGTGGGTCTCTGCTCAAGGTCTGGTGTTCCCACAGTGGCACACACCTTTAATCCCAGCACTTGGGAGGCAGAGGCAGAGGCAGATTGATCTCTGTTAGTTCAAGGCCAGCCTGGTTTACAGAGTTCCAGGAGAGCAAGAGCTATGTGAAGAAACCCTGTCTCAAGAAATCAGAAAGAAAAAAAAAAAAACTACCCTGGATGGGGCAGGAAGATGGCTTAATGGTTAAGAGCACTGGCTGCTCTTCCAGAGGACCTGGGTTCAATTCCCAGCAACCACATGGCAGCTCACACTTGTCTGTAACTCCCATTCCAGAGGATCTGACACTCTCACACAGACGTACATCCAGGCAAAACACCAATGTACATAGCATAAAAATAAATCACAAAAAGGAAAAAAGAACCACCCAGGAGGGCTGAAAAGTGTGGCTCAGTTGAGAGTGCTTCCTAACATGCACAAAATCCTGAGTTCGATCCTCAACCACATAAACCAAGTGTGGTAGCATACCTGCATCCCAGCACCGGGAGGAGACCATGCAAGATCATTTCAAAGCTATCTTCAGTTACATTGCAAGTTCCCCACCAGCCTGAGCTACATAAGACCCTGGGGAGGAGGGGGTTGACATTCTGAAGACTATTGACCCCAGTCCTACTTTTCTCCGACTCGCCTATGCATATGCCCAATGAGCTGGCTGGTCTTGAGCCATAAAGAAAGGTATCCAAGAGGCTACGAAACCAATGACAAACCCCCCCCAGAGAACATGACTCCTGGGCAGGCAGCAACTGGAGACACCTTCAGTGTCCCAGAGCAGTGGCAAGGGTTTCAACCTGGCCTGAGAGATGGAAAAACAATTTATCCAGCAGATAGCAGGCAGCTATGGTTTCTTCTCTCCTACACACCCCCCTTTCTGTTTCAAGCTGATCACATTTCCTTGGTGACTTCCAGGCTTAGTCAGAAGACTTAAGGGATAGCTTACATCATACAGAATCTTGTCCAGATAAACTATTCTGGACTAATTAGTGTTATCATCTGTAAGGTCCCTTCCTTCCTGTTGTTCATGAGTATGTACTGATCAACTGCCATGCACTATATGGTGAGCTCAAGTATAGAAAGAGCCTTTGAACTCTGACTAGAGCCCTTTGAGATGAAGATGTCGGTTCCTTTATCAAAAAACAACAGTGCATTTCGCTGGGCAGTGGTGCACATGCCTTTAATCCCAGAACTCGGGAGGCAAAGGCAGGTGGATCTCTGCGAGTTAGAGGCCAGCCTGGTCTTCAAAGAGAGTTCCAGGACAGTCTCCAAACCTACATAGAAACCCTGTCTTGAACCCCCCCCCAAAAAAACAAGTGCATTTCAAGCTGTTTCCTCTCCTCTTTAGAGCACCAGAAAGTTACAACTGGGTCAGGAGGTGGTGTATGCCTTTAATCCCAGCAGAGGAAGGTGGAGCTCCATGTGTTCAAGGCCAGCCTGGTCTGGAACAAATTCCAGGACAGACAGAGTACACAGAGAAATCCTGTCTCAAAAAAGAAGAAAAGAAAAAAGGAAGAAAAGAGAGAAAGGAAGGAAGGAAAGAAGGAAGGAAGGAAGGAAGGAAGGAAGGAAGGAAGGAAGGAAGGAAGGAAGGAAAGCTATAACTGAATAGGAAAAAGGTGAGAGCCTGGCAGATGATCTGATGAGACCCACCCCCACCCTACCCCAGGGTGAACCAAACCTGTTCTCGAGTACAGGATACCTACAGAGACAGCTGATGCATGGGCTGGGGACCTCAGTGTAAAGCACTCTATGCTTAAGCATACACATGTGTGTGCTCACCAGCACACACACATACATTTTTCTGCGTATTAGATCCTATAATGTTTGTGCCACTTTTAGTTAATACTCTTGTCATATTAGCACTCAAAAACATAAGAATAAGTACAAAGATGCTAAATTATGACACTCCAGACTAGTCAGGCAGCAAGTACAAGGTAGGGCTGGGACTGGGACCTAGTCTCCCTGAAGTCCCAAACCTCCTGAAACACGCACATTCAAACAAAAACCAAAGAGCTGTTGCATTAGGAAAGACAATAGCCTGGTAGACGGGTCCTCAATGAAGACAAGAGACTTTTGATAAATAGAGGGCCTGTCCACCCCATACTTTAAACAAGTCCTCAAAAATTCTACTCATTCAGTCTCATCGGTATTGTCACGTGTTCCCTTAGAGACAGGTGCCCCGGTGCCTAACCCAGAGAAGTTTCATGGTGTCTGTCAGGCACTGAGACAAGTCTGCACGGGTTCCTTTATGTTCCTACACACTGTACTTCTGCCTGCAAAGCCATGAGTTGTAATTAGTGCCTAACGGAGCCTTGCTACTGGTCCCCGGTATCTGAGGCCCTGACTTCTGGAATATAGTACACTGACCAGGCAATTCTCCTCCACCCAGCTTTTCAAATGTAAATATTTCTTCATGCTGTAAATAGTTTCGCGCACTCCTCGGTGCCAAGCTCTGAAACCACCACGTTGAATTCAATATTTGCCCACGCACCTCAGTATTTGCGAGTGGTGACAGGCATGGGAAGGGACCTTCTTTAGAGTGCAGGAACTGAGAGATGGCCCCAATCTGTCCCTCTACCCCGGGAGTGGAAGCTGCAAATGAGATCACACCGGGAAATCGATTTGTAAATGGCATAAGGTGAGAATGGGGTGTGGAGAGATGGGGAGGGGAGGAGGGAGAAGGAGCAGAGGTGGGGCGAGGGAAAGCCAAGGGGAAGGGCTGCAGCCTTGGACGGCTGTGCTTCAAGGCCTGGCCTGGCCTGGCCGAGCTGAGAGCTCAGCCATCGGCTGCGAGCCCAGAGCATGGCCTCCAGCCTCCGAGGACAAAGCCCGAGCTCTGGCCTCACCCTCCCAACAGGCCAAGCCCGAGCTCTGGCCTCACCCTCCCAACAGGCCAAGCTGTTCTGGGCTTCGTCCTGGCGGCAGCCTAGAACTTTCGGAGTCCTGCACCGCCCCGGACAGATTTAGAGTTGCAGCCAGAGCTATGACAAAGGCCAGGCCTTTTTCCTCCATTGTGCAACCCGAGCAGCCAGATTTTCCGTTGAATGCCTTACGTAAGGGCATCCCTGAGCAATGGTGGCCTGGGAAGCGCCATCAGCCGCCATTCTCTGTGCTGAAGCGCCACCTGGAGGACAGTTCTCGCCCAAACCGTTGTGTATTAGAACTTGGTAAAATCAGCCTCCACACAGGGAAACAGGAAACAAGAGGTACCTTGGGGGGGTTGGGGGCAAAATATGGCACCTTTTGAAAGGACTCCAACAATTTGTCCACCTGCCGTCCTGCTATTTGATGATGGGATGGATGTTCAGGAGTTTAATGACGCGGCTTCTCAATGGGACCGGATTTCTCCATGGCTTGGAACCACAGCGATCACTTCCTCTCAGGAATTCTAAAATCTGCATCTGAGGAGCACTTGTGCTGAGAACTGCAGTTTGCCCTGCATCTCAGACTCCAGCATCTTCGTCCACCTACTGCAAAATTCAGACTTGACTAACTTGGGCCTGGGGTGCTTTGTGGGAAGAGAACTTGGGGGGCTTCGTGGCTTTCTCAGTCAGTTGCCTGCCACTGGGAATATTTGTTGACAATTAGCTGGATGGACCTACAAAGGCACAAAGAATTAAGGTGTTTAAAATGAGCTTCAAGTTATTTTTAGCCTGAAGAATTTCTCAGCTAGATGGACCCAGGGAACAGGGAGTATTCAATATAAAGAAAAACAGACAAGGCCCAAACTGAGAAAGAGGGTTTTGTTTTTAAAGCAAGCAAGGAAGGGGGGAGGGAGGGAAGGAGGGAGGGAGCTTTCTTCTTCAGATTTTTCTACTTATTCCTTTGGCAAGTCAGAAGTTTAGCTTCCTGCAAGGTCAGAAGACCCTGAGTATCTCCAGCAAATCCTTATCAGAAAAGGAAAATGCTGGCAGTATCAGAACTCTCTTGTCTAGTCATATTATAGAGTCGTGATAACAAAAGCAGCATGGTACTGACTCAAAAGCAGGCCTGTTGAACAACAGGATCGAATAAAGGACCAAGAAATAAGGACACAAAATTGTACTAGCTAATTTTTGACAGAGGTGTCAAAAAACACATAGCAGAGGAAAGATAGCCTATCTATCAACCGGTGCTGAGAAAATGGTTTCCACAAGCGGAGGAATGACTAACCCGGTCTCTCATCCTGCACAGAAATCAACCCAAAGATCTGGCCTGAAAGTTGGGAGGTACTAGGGGAAAGCATCCAAGATGCAGGCCTAGGCAAGAACTTCTTGAACAGAGTCCCACTGTACAGCAAATAGTGCCAATGATTGACAAGTGGAATTTATAGGAAATGAGGAAGTTTCTGTTTGGCCAAGGAGACAAGCACCAGAGCCCTGAGAATAGTAATACAATCTTCCCCAGCACAAATTAAATACCAGAAAAGAAATCATCCAGCCAAAACCAAGCTAATGAACTGAAGAGACAGTTCTCAAAGAAGGCAATGCAAATAGCCCATACATACGCAAATAAATGTTCAGTCCCTTACCATGGGAGAAATGTCAGCCAGACTGGCTATCACCATAAGAAACAAGTGACAGTCCTGACAAGATGTGGAGAAAGAGGAGTCCATGCACACTTCTAGGAAACCTGCCACTATAGACGTTAGTTGGAGGATCCTACAAAAGCTGAAACTAGGGCAGGAGGGATGGCTCCGCAGTTAAGGGCACTGGCTGTTCTTCAGAAGATGTGGGTTCAGTTCCCAGCACCAACATGGTGGCTCACAAACATCTATAACTCCAATTTCAGGGATCCATCACCCTCTTTTGACCTCCATAGATGCCAGGCATGGACGTGGTAGTACATACATACATACATACATACATACATACATACATACATACATACGGATATTAAAATAATTTTAATTAAAAAAACTGAAACTAGAGCTATACTTGACTCAACTATACCAATGAGTATACACCAGAAGGACTCTAAGTCAATAACACATTATAGAAATAACTTGCCCATCCATGTTTACTGTTATACTATTCACAATATCCAAGAAATAGAACTAAACTAGATGTTCATCAATAGATTAATAAACAAAGAAAATGTAGTCATAGACAGTCTTATACCCAGAAAGAAAGAAAGAAAGAAAGAAAGAAAGGAAGGAAGGAAGGAAGGAAGGAAGGGATGGAGGAAGGGAGGAAGGGAGGGAGGGAGGAAAATGGGCTACTGGGATAACAGTAGCATGACTAATGTGGGGTAACTTGTTGGAGTCTGAATATGATATTTTTGCATGTAGGCCTCAGCTCAGTTCCAGGAGCTCGAATATCCTATTGTCTTTTAGGTGTCAGCTGGTTACCTCTGGATGGCCTGGCCACAGTAGAGAATGGTTTCTAGTTTGTGTAACAATAGACCTAGGACCCAAACCCATCATGAGGGCTGGTGGGACATGCCTGGGGACTAGTGGGATGTGTCTGAAGACATGCCATTACGGAAAGTCTGAGGGCCATCTCTAGGGTTAAAGGAAGTGTTTCCTAGTCAGCCCTATATACATAATAATAGATGTCTTCTGCCAGGACCCTGGCTTTTGGAAAGCCATTTAAGAGGATGCTTGAATAAAACCATGGTCTCCAGTATTAACTGAGAGCTCTCCTGAAATGACAAGATGCCTCTGTCTTGTCCTTAATGCCACTGGGTAGCTAGGACTTCCCTGATCCACACTCTCCCACTCAAGGTCAGGCCCGGGGCTGTTTGACTGGTTCCAAACACAGTCCTAAAGACATCAGTCCAGAATAGATGGCTCTTTCAGCCTAGGACTGATACTGACTGGACCCCAGCAGTAACTGACCACTTATAGATTGGATTTGGACATGCTCTACAAGAGGGAATTTAAAGCTAGTCAAAAGCCCATAGCTGAGGAGGTCACAGAGCACTAGGAGGAAAATTACTTAAATGTTATGTCCTTGGATTTCTTTCTAACAATTTATACTTTCTTATTTTTATTAATTAATTAATTAATGTTTCATTGAATTATTTGTGGGCAGGGGTACACACATGCTACAACATGTGCATTAGAGTGAGAGAACAACTTGTGGGAATAAGTTCTCTCCTACCATGTGGGACCTGGAGATTGAACTCAAGTCATCAGGCTTGGCAGCAAGCGCCTTTACCTGCTGAGCCATCCTATCAGCCCAGTATTTATGTTTATATTCATATAGTGCTAGTGTCAGCCCTGGTCAGAGAAGCCTCATTTTGTTGTGGACAATGGTTACTGCAGAGATGCTTAGCCAGTGAAAGTGCTGAGGAAACTGCTGAGTGATTGGCTCTAAATGAGACTCAGGGAACATCATGGAAGAGGAGGCAGAAAGAACATACGAGCTAGAAGATGGGGAGGGTGCTATGGACAGCTTCCTTCCAGCTTTGACCTAGCTGCTGTACTCACGCGTGCATTCACAGCTGTTGGTAACTGCTGTTACCCACTTAATACCAGCACAACAGTGAGCATTGTCCACATTCTGTCACAGGTTAGGGAGGGGTTCCTGAGGCCCCACCCCTCCCTGGGGAGCTATTGGTAGTTAATGGTTGCTGGAGGAAAGAGAGGCCTTTTCCTCAGTGGTGTTGTCACTAGGAAGTTGCCCGTGCCCCAGTAAGCACTCCCACCCATGCTCATACAAGCAGCCTCAATTAAACTCAATGGGCCACCCACTTCCACAAAAAAAATTATGGTATTAAAAAAAGGTGGTTTAGTTGGGAAGGGGTCCAGCAGGAGGAGAAGAGACGGTAATGAGGAGTAATGGAATAATAAAAATTCACTAATATTCATTAATAATCATCATTCATATGTACAAATTGTCAAAATTTACAAGTTAAAAATACATACATATGCAAAATGGAATCTTATGCAGATACAAAGAAATATGAAATCATAAATGATGGTTACAAAAAATGGATGTAAGTAGATAAACTAGCAAAATAAGAGTGTTTCAGAAATATATATACTTAGTGTTGTCTCCCATATATGCAACCTCATCTTAAGTTACATATGTATATGCATGTCTCTGCATGTATTTCTAGGTTACAAGCCAGAAAGAGGACCCTGAGAGGGGATGAAGAGATCCTAAGGGAACTGGGAACTAGAGAGGGTCACAGAATACATACAGTAGAAAATTTGAAGGGGGACTGGAGTTGAGAACAATTGAAGACAAAATGTAATGTCTGAAAATGCCACGATGAAACCCAATACTTCGTATGCTGACCTAAGTTTTTTAATTAAAAAGAAACTTAGCTTTCTGCTACTTAGCTTGTTGGATTCTCAAGCACAACTTGAGAACAATACATGAAATAGGCAAGCTCTGGTTGTCAGAGCATCAGTGTGCGGTGCCCTGGATGTCCACAAAGATCACCACATCTTCACATGCAGCAGCAGCTGTCCCTCTGCAGACCAACAATTCCAACAGGCACTCCCTTGAAGGCCTTGGGGAAAATGAGAGTCACATTTGAACTTATTCAAAGATACAGATGTTACCCCAGAAAAAAGCATGCAGCCCACTAGTTGGTCAAAGAACACGAAGAAAGGAACGTTTTCATTTATCCATGCTTCTAAATAAATTAGACTTACAAAAGCTGAGCTGGGTATGGGGACTTATGACTGTAAGCCCAGCTGAGGCAGGAAAATTGTTAGTTCAAGGCCAGTCTGGGCTACATAATGAGTCTGAATCTGATAGCCTGACTGCCTAGTGAGATCACGGCTCAAAAAATAAATAAATAAGATGCCAATGTTATTTCTCATGGTGCTCGCAGTAACCTTGTAGAATGAGGATCATCATTACTGCCCTGCAGAGAAGAAAACAGAAGTTAAAAGAAATCTAGTCAATTGCCTGTAATACAAGTAGCCATAATGTGAACTCAAACATTCTGTCTCCATAACATTTGTGATCTTCCAAGATGTCACCTCCCATTCCGGCGTGAAACCAGAATGCTAAGTACTGAGGATAATATTCTGAGATGCAATTCAGTTTGCCGCAGAGTGCTGTGGGAGTTCATATGCAGTAATGGAGACTGCATTATATGGGGGAATGTCTGGGCCAAAGAAGATCCCGTCAGGAATGAGGCCCACTGATGGTCTGACCACACATTACACTTTGTAGAGGGCTCAGAATGTCTCAATCCTTTGTTTCCCCCATCCTCATCAGCAACTGAGCACTCCGTTCTCTTTTAAAAAAATTCTGTGCATGCATTTGGAATTATTGTTCTTTAATAGAGTCTTCTCTGGGAGTTAAGAACTACTGGAAAACAACAAAAATCCATTGGAGGCAGTCTGTGGAACGGCTCCCAGTGCTTGTGAAGGTCTATAGGACTCCAGAGCTGAAAGGGCTTCCAAGGGCATATCAGTTTGCACACACAAGTCCTCAGCATCAAGGGTGCCATCCAGACTCCACCATCAATGACTTATCGAGATCACTCTACTATGTGAATGTGTGCAGAGCCAGTCAGAATCTCAGTCAATGCACTTTTCATTTTTTTTTTCAGTTTTTTGTCTCCAAGCCAAATTCACCTAGGAACCCAAATCTCCAGAGACAGCCCTAGAAAGCAGCCGTCTCCCCTTCTCTCCCCAAAGTCATTTCAGACAGGGAAGGAAGGAGGATGCACTCCGTTTTGAAAGCCCGTAATGTATGGATTGCTATGCTGAGTGCCATGCTTCATTTGTTACCTGCATCAACTGATGTAATCCACTCTAATAAGGCATACTTATTTGCAATCTGCAAATCAGAAGGGTGGGGTCCACAAAACTAAGGGACTGGCTTAAGCTTCTGAGACTGGTGCTAGTAGGACTGGAGCCAGCTGCTTGCTTTTGAAAGTCCTGTAGTAAATGCAGGGCCCAGCTGACCAAGAGAGACCTCTGTATATAGGCAGCTGTCTCTGCAGGAGTGGGTAGCCTCTGCCTAGCCATGGGACCCCCACCATGGATGGCAAATTGGGGATTTTAGAATTGAAGGGAAAAGGGAGCATAAGGAAGGACACCCTGGGGTTTGTAAAGAAAGAAAACAAGTTGGGGGGGGTTGGTTGGTTTTTTTCAAGACAGGGTTTCTTTGTGTAGCCCTGACTGTCCTAGAACTAGCTCTGTAGACCACGCTAGCCTCAGACTCACAGAGATCCACCTGCCTCTGTCTTCCAAGTGCTGGGATTAAAGACATGAGTCACCATCACCTGGCAAGCCTGTGTTCTTTTTTTGTTTTGCTTTTTGAGACAGGGTTTCTCTCTGGCTTTGGAGTCTGTCCTGGAACTAACTCTTATAGACCAGGCTGGTCTCGAACTCACAGATTACCTGCCTGCCTCTGCCTCCAGAGTGCTGGGATTAAATACGTGCACCACCACCGCCTGGCTTCAAGCCCGCATTCTCAACCAGAGCTCTGGCAAAAACCATACCTTGCCTTCAGGAGCTCTGAAAATCTATGCTGATCTTAAATTCTTCTACCACTCTTATTTGTCATTTCACTAGCAAGTCTTGCATTATGTACAACTCGGACACAAGACAGGACTTTAAAGAAAGTGATGAACCAGTCATAACTCTTTTCTGGACTGGGGAAAGCATTGACCAGAGGCAGCTGAGAGGCCTCCCTAAATTAAAGCTGCCCAAGGATAGAACCCTGGAAACATGCACAGTTGCAGGCATGCGGTCCTTTGCAAACTTCTCCTGTCCTCCCTGGGTACTGATGTCTCTTGTGCTCCGGGCAACAGGTAACGTCGGGAAACAGCACACTTCGCAGATGAGACAGATGACTAAGGGCTAGGAGAGGTGTGAGAGAGGGCGGGTGCTGATGGCAGAGGCCCATGAGGCAGCATGCCTGCTAACATGATTCATGGCTTTCCCCACAGACCTCCAATTTATTATGATTTTGTGTTTCTCCAAAAGTCAAAAGTTCTCAGCATCACATGCTTGAGTTTTCACCTTGAAAGTCCCATTTTCAGTAAGATCAGCTTGTGTAGTCCCTGAGCCATCCCCTCCCCCAAGTGACATGTAAAAGAACAAGGCCGCCTGGGTGGCAGCAATTCCTGTTGGAAGAGAAATGTATTTCTTCTCTGACCTGCTGTTTCTGGCATGGGATACATACTCCTATGCTTGTCTCTGGGGCTTGTTCCAAAGTATAAACAACTCAGGGTACTGTCTGCACCGCCAACACCAGTCACGTGCCCATTGTTTTCAAGACCAAGTGACCCCTGGCTTTGATGGAACATTTAGAGAAGAAATAAATTTAAAGTACTCAGGTCTTGGAGCTGGAGTGATGGTTCAGTGCTTCAGAGCATACTGCTCTTGCAGAGGACCTGAGTTCAATTCCCAGCACCTGCACCAGGTGGCTCATGACTGTTGTCACTACAGCTCCAGAGGGATCGTATCTTCGACTTCTAATCTCAGGTATGCATATGCTGACACACAAACATGCAGACAACTAAAAAGAATAAAAATAAATCTTTACAACACAGTGTTGCATATGCCCTGCTGTTATCCTATGTATGGGATTGAGTCTGGTTTCTCCTTGGAAAAGAACAAAAATAGGAGCTTAAAAGTACTCATTGAACTGGGCATGGTAGAGCACACATATAATCTCAGCACTCAGGAAGGCAGCACTCAGGGAGGCAGAGTCGGGCAGATTTGAGTTCTAGGCCAGCCTAGCAAGTTCCAGGCTAACCAGAGCTACATGGTCTTTGTCTAGATAGATAGATAGATAGATAGATAGATAGATAGATAGATAGATAGATAGATAGTTGGATGATAGACAGATAGATGATAAATAGTAAATAAGCACTTACTCTTGAATGCTCCAAACACCTCTTGTTTTTGCTCCTAGACACACTCATCTATGTGGAAGAGTCATCTCCTGCTTTCTGGCAAGCCTGCACCTCTGAGATTCCTGGAGTGGGTCAGACTAGCACATTAGCCAATTTGCTATTCTGCTTGATCTCCAGTTTCTCCTCAGGAAATCTAAACATGTTAAGTCTCAATGCTGCATTTCAACATACAAAGAACTGGAGAAGGCTGGAAGAGATGATGGCTCGGCTGACAAGCACTTGCTGGTGAGGACCTGAGTTTGAATTCCCAGAACCCACTAAAACTGGATGCAATACCTCTGTCGTCCCAGTGATCCTACAGGGAGACGGGCAGTGGAGACAGAACTCCTAACTCAGCCTATACAACAGAAACGAAGACACCCCACCTCAAACAAGGAGGAAGGTGAGGACGGACACCCAAGGGCGTCCTCTGACTGCCACGTGTGCACCACAGCACACATGCCCCCATTCATTCTCTCTACCACCCTCTCTCCTACAAATACACTAGGTCGGGAGAGGAATAAATTAAAAACAAACCAAAAACTGGCAGCTTGTTGTGGTGGTGCATGCTTTTAATCTCAGCACTCAGGAGGCAGAAGCAGGTGGATTTCTGTATTTGATGTCAGCCTGGTCTATATAGTGAGCTCCAGGACATCCAGGGCTACATAATAGAGACCCTGTTTGAAAACAAAACAAAACTGGATATGGTGCCATTCCAGTGCCTACTCTAGAGGTGGAGCAAGATGATCACATACTCTGTGTTGAGTAGTGGGTTTGAAGCTAACCTAGACTACATGAGACCCCATCAAAAATCAAAGACAAACAAAATAACAACAAAACACCCTCTGATCGGGGTCAGAGAACAGTCTCTTTCAGTAGAAAGGCAGTTTTGGGACATGTGACCTTAGGCAAATTACATACTCGGGACTGAACTCTTTACTTGCAAAAGAGGAATTTGACCAGTCTGGCTGGGCTGTTGTAAGAGTATCTGCTGAGGCTGCCGTGCCGTTCTATAGATTGGGTAAAGAATCAATGTAGAGCCGGGCGGTGGTGGCGCACGCCTTTAATCCCAGCACTTGGGAGGCAGAGGCAGGCAGATCTCTGTGAGTTCGAGGCCGGGCTGGACCGATAGCCTCCAAAACAATACGGAGAAACCCCCCCTGTCTCGTAAAAACCAAAAAAAAAAAAAAAAAATCAATGTAGATCAGGCTGGAGAGGTGACTCGGGTTAAAGGCAGGTAGTACTATTTCAGAGGCCCTAAGTTCAGTTCCCAGCACCCGTATCAGGTGGTGTCCATTGCCAAGAAACCCAACACCCTATTCTGACATATGTCTTTTTACAGTTAAGGAACCGAGAAGTGGGGAGGCCTGACTTCTTCTAAAGATTTTGGCTTGACAGTGCCTTCTCAGTTCACACATGGACGATTGATTGTCTGGGTTCCTGTGTCTGATATTTTTTTCTTCGTTCCTAGGACTCCCATCAGAACAGGTTAGGTCCTTCTCTTAAAAGACATCATTTACCTTAATCATATCCTTCAAGGGTTATCTTCAAATATGAGTGTCATCTGAGGTCCTGGGGAATATGACATCAGCATTTCTATTTGTCAGGGACACAACCAAAAGACACAACAAAGGCTTCTGAAAGGCTTGCACTTCCCTTTTGACATAATAGCTTGCTCTTTGAGATCCTAGATGCAATTCCTGGCTCTCCTGCTTGCTTGTTACATGAATTTGGACAAGTACTTGACCTGTCCCATCATCTGTATTGTTCTGTTTTTTTGAGACAGGGTCTATAGAGCCCAGGCTGGCTTCAGACTCAACAGCACTCTGGCATGTGCCTCCCAAGGGCTGGGATTACAGGTGTGTGACCTCAAGCTCTATCATATGCAAAATGGCCACAAGAATTTCTTCCTCAAAAAAAAAAATATGAGAAATGCTAAGGGTAGGAGTGCTTAACAGTATCTGGAAGTGGTAGGAATAATGTGTTTGCTATTAGTTTTAAAACATCTTCCGGTCAAGTGGTGGCCTTTAATCCTAGCACTTAGTAGGCAGAGGTGGCCGATCTCTGTGAGTTGAGACAAGCCTGAGTACCAATGGAGTTCCAGGACAGCCAGGGATGTTACACAACAAACTGTATCTCAAAAGCAAAAAAAACAAACACCAAACCAAACAAAAACCTGCTTCCCAGCAGTAATTGTAATTCTTCATGTTTGCCTTGACAGACTGACAGTCTGGGCACTAAATGGACACTGAAAAAGAAATCTGAAACTTCTTTTATTTATTGTATACATAGGTGTTTTGTCTGCATGTATGTCTGCACACCGGAAGTGGGCATCAGATTCCATCGGATTAGTTATAGACAGTTGTGAGCTGCCATGTGGGTGCTCAGGACCTCTGGAAGAGCATCAGTTAGTGCTCTTAACCACTGAGCCATCTCTCCAAACCCTGAAATTTCCTTAAGGATTTGTTTATTTGTGATGGAGAAATGGCTCAGCAGTTAAGAATACTTGATCTTCTACATAGTGCTAGTTTAAAACCCAGCACCCATATGTCAGGTAACTCACAGCTTTGGGAGAATCCAATGCCCTCTTCTGGTCCCTGCTGACACTGGCACACACGTTAATGCACACCACATGTATGCAGGTACCAACCGACATCAGATCCCCTGGAACTGGAGTTACAAGTTACTCAAGCTGCCGGATAAGGGTGCTAGGAACACCAAGTGCTCCTAATCACTTAGTCATAACCTCTCCAGCTCCAAATCTGAGATGTCAAGAAACACTGGCTGACCAATGCAGCAGAGGTGGCAAATTCAACAGCTCCAACAGTCTCATTTCAGCCACTACCACAAGCCATGTGAGTGACAGCCACATTGCCATTCCATCTCCTTACAAACTGACCCATGCATTTTCTTTTCCTTTAAGCTACCTTACAGCAGTTTCCCTGCTAACAAGCCACAGGCTTCCCATTCCAGAGAATGTTAGCTAGAAACACAGCAGGCCTGTAAAGCAATCTGCACTCAGCAGATGAGGAGCTGCTCATCAAAGTCCTGTCAGTGGCTGCTTCACAAGGCAGTTTCCTTAACTACCCAACACAGACTAAAGCTGTCTGTCGCATCTGTACCCCAGACTGTCGGTGTGGCAGGTGTACACAATGAGATTGATGTGACGAATCACAGTCTTCAAAGAGCTGACCTGGCCCAGTGTGACCAAGCCCGAGGTGGTGGAGCAACGAAGTCACAAAATACTGACATTCCTCAAATACCATGTTAACCAAAGACTTGACCAAACTAAAAATCTGAGATGGCTCTCAGATTCTCTCTTGCAGAGAACTCTTTCATAACTTTCGAACCCATTTGTCTCCCAGCACTTAGCATCAGAGAACCTCTAGAGAGACAAGACGAGAGTATACAGTGCCTGTCCTGCACAGTTCAGTTCCAGGGTACTGCCAGCACCAGGCACACAAAGTAGGCCTTGGTGAGAGCAAAAGAAAAACCATCTCCCCATTTTATCTTGTTTAACTATTCGAAAACTCCCCTCAAAAGGGCCCAAACATAACACATACTCATTCCTATACTTTTAGACAAGACAACAGAATCATGTTTTAGCTTTATTGACATTACAGCAGACAGGACAAACACATGCTCTATAAAACATACAATCTTATGTGAGAAAATATAATCAGTACCGTGAAACAGCTACACTGAACAGCATGGCGCATATCTCTTTAGAGGTGCCTTACACCAGGGCTGCTCAGCCCCACATCCTCTAATGGGAAAAGAGAATAGAGGACAGCAGGGAGTAAAGTCACTTGGTGGGTGAAGGGGCCATCTGCAGAGCCAGACACACTTCAAGGACACGTGGCCACCAGAAGATCAGCTTCTCTTTGAAAACAGTTACAGCCATCACAAGATCACTTCACATTCAACAACAGGCAAGGTAAGCTGCTTGCTCTTCTCCTTCACTCCACTGCTTGACGATTACCAGAACTGCAAAGAAACAACATGCAACCAAGAGGGAGTGGGTCCAAATCACAACTTAAAGCACACTGGCTGTGGCAATGCTTGCCTGGGTTTGATTCCTAGGACGCCACACATCAACCATCTCACCAAGCCTACAGGTGATTCTTGGGTTTTTAGATGTTCCAAGTGCAGTTCCTAATATATCCCTAATTCAGAAACTTGGTACTTCTGTCAATGAACTAATGTCCAAAAAGAACAAAAGAAAATGAAAATCTAGGCTAAGTCCTGTACACTTAGACCATGTTCCAAACAAAAAGTTTAAAGCAGAAAGGGAGGTGTCAACACACCTTCATACTGGACTGGCTGAGAACACCTAACAGAAAAACTCAGCCCAGTCAACATGGTTCCACCATTTTTATAACCATCTATTCCATTAGTCTGCAGCAAGACAACGTTTCCGCTGATTTGCAGCTCCAAGGTAGAGCACTTGCCTGGTATGCAGGAGGCTACAAGTTCAATCCCCAGGATCACCAAAGGAAAAAGGCCCAAACATGGAGTATGTCCCACATAAAAAGAGAACAAAGAACAAACGGCCAGGCGTGGTAGCACATGCCTTTAATCCCAGCACTCGGGAGGCAGAGGAAGGCGGATCTCTGTGAGTTCAAGGCCAGTTCTGGTCTCAAATCGAGTTCCAGGACAGCCTCCAAAACAATACAGAAAAACCCTGTCTCAAAAAACCAAAAAAAAAAAAAAAAAAAAAAAAAAAAAGGGGGAGAGAGAGAACAAACATGGGGTCATGGGATCTGAGCTCAGTGAGACATTCACAGAGCAGTAGGATCAATGCCCAGCACTGGGGATTCAATGCCAGCCACACTTACCTGTTGCTACTCCTTACCCTTGTAGCACATCAGTGGATATCCAATAATGAGAAAACGCCATCTTCACACACTTGGGTAAACATAAAACTGAACACTACAATACCAACTCCATGCCAGCTGTGCTCCATAGGCAAGAATAAATATTAATCAAGCCAGACATACCTATATTCCCCACATTTGGGAGGGTGAGGCAGGAGATTGAGAGTTCAAGGCAGTAGGGGCTAAAAAATTAATAATAATAATATTTTCTAAAAATCCACAGGCTTAAATTTTTTGTTAGAGTAATGGCACTTATGTCAGAAGTGTAGGTTTTTCTTTTTTTTTTCAGAAAAATAATGCCACCATTTCATACTTTAATTATGAACACAAACCACATTTCTTTGTTAACCAAAGTCCCAAATGGTTTAGTTTTAGAAAAAGAATTCTGAAGTGCACTAAACCAAACACACAGATCAAAGGACAAACTCTCAAGCTAATGCTAACACTGCACATATTATAGTGACCTTGACTATGTTCCACTCCACCTAAGAACTCTCTTTAACATGGCTAGCAATTAGTGTCTCCCCCCTAAGCAGACCATTTTCATTACGAGTAGTATGATTATAAGACTACTCCTCTACACCTCCCTGGAGATGGTATCTGTCATTTCCTACAAGATGTAAATAAAGATTTCTAACATGTCCTCTTTTCACAGGACAGCTGACAGTGCTG